TTCACACTTAAACGAATTTAGCAATGTTGGGGAGATGTAGAAGTGCAAATTATTAGACAAACAATATGGAAACAAGAATTTGAGTAGTTAAACAAGAGATGATAGGTAAATTCAGAGAGTGACAGAAGCCGAATACAAAACCTTATAACGAGGTGCGAAAGGATCAGAGGTCATGACAACACTAGACGACTCGATATTGCCCCAAATCTCGCCTTTCTCCTTACGTCTGTCCAAAGAAATCTCCGTACACCAAATCTCAAGACAACCTCCTTGGACAACGTCCCAAAAAACCACAATGTTACCACCAGAGTTGCTCATTCTAATCCCTGGAAATATATTGCTCAGCTCTTTAGTTATACCATTCTCGAGCTTATAATCGTCCCACATACCCATAATCTGTTGATCAAAGTAGATCAAACTAGACCAAGAGAATTTCGTCTTCAAAGTGTCTAAACCCTTGACCTCCTTTGTTACATGGTCTCTCGTGTTGACGCCAATGTAACTCCTCTGGCTCACACCAAAGTATAGCCCCATGTGTACAACAGTAGAGCAAATTATCAATCATGCACCAATCGGTTCGGTTTACTTTCCCTTCGAATTCATCACAATGATTCCCTCTTCCCCATCTACTTTTTCTTGTCTTGTAATATGATAGGTTTGATCTATTGTACTCACCCCGTAAACTTTTTGATCACACACGAAACTGTCTTGAAAATATTGATCGTTGACATCCAAACCGGGTATTATCTTGAGAGTTTGAAACCTCCGATAAAGCTTTGTAATCAAGAATCTAGCAAGAAAATGTATTACTCGGAATCGAAACCCATACACGATAGCGCAATAAAAGTTTATTTTATTTAAGTTTTCTACAAGGGGGAATTTATAAGACCTATACATCGACTAAGAAAACATATCAAGTTCAAGTGATTTAGGTGATTTGTTGCTATTCGAACCCAAAATAAAATAAAATACTGTGCTAGATTAAATCCATTTCACAAACTGACAAACACTCAGCTTATTGTGGGTTTTTAAAAAATAAAAATAAAAAATAGATTGTGGGTATCCACTTCTTACATCCCTCATCTAATTATTATCCCAACAATCTTAAACAGTAACTAATTTTTTTTTGTGTGAAAATAATCTCGAAATTGCAGAGGAACATTCATGTGTTCAAAACTCGACTAAGTCAATGTTTCTAGAAAGATTCTCTTGTTTTCAGATGTAGATATGCCCACCACACGAATAATGATACATACGTATTGACTATTGACTATTTTCAGATATATATCTACACATATTTGTGTTTATTCATATGTTGTATGCTTGCTTGTAATATGGATCAATGGTTGCATTACAAAAAAAAAAGATTTGTATAGTTGTATTGTTGATGTTTATTTATTGTGAAATTATATACTATTAGAATAAGAATGTGTCTCCTATTAAAAGAGCAAAAGGGTAAAAGAATACAGACAAACTGGTCAGTGAAGTTTGTTAGTATTATCTGCAAGAAAAGTTGTATTTATTTTTTGGGGATAAAATATCTGGAAGAGAAGTTTCCCACAGGCCACAGCTTCTTGTTTTCAAAATTTCAAAGGATTAACGAGCAAGAATTTGTTTTTTCAATAATTG